AGGCTGTGGGCCACTTCCCTCTCCAGCCTGACAGGCACTGTGTCTGGAGCAGAGCTCACGTAACTCACGCTCTGCTTCTTCCTGCTCAGTTTTACAAGAAGACAAAGCAGCTGCCAGTCCTGTCAAAGTGCTGTGAAGAGGTCCAGCCCCATGAGCGGAAGCCACCTCTGGAGAGGGAAGAGCACCGGCTCCCCTTCTGGTTAAAGGTATAGCCTTCCACTCGGTCTACAGGAGGTAGCTCACTGGAGGGAGACCTGGCGGGGACCTCCAGGGCCACGTGAAGCTCCTTGGGCTTCAGTGGTAGAATAGGACTCCAGAAAGCTGCCTCGTCCCTTTCCTGCCCGTCCCCCTGGTGATTCTACAGCCTTTTAAAAATAGTGGGTAGAATGGTGATTTCCTATAGGAAATTCAGAGAAGAGCTGGTAGACTACATAATTCCACGTGGTCTACATACTAATTGGATAAGCAGGAAAACACTTGTTGGGAAGATCCCTTGAGACTGTCTTGGAAAGTTCTCTGTACGCTAGACCGGCCTATTCTTTACCCCAAATCTGATGTGAGCCAGATCAGAATGTTCTCGTTCCCCACAGGCCAGTCTGCCATCCATCCAGGAAGAGCTACGGCTTGGAGCCCACGACGGCAGGGCAGTAGGAAATGGGACTGGGACCACCGAGGTCAGCGCAGACCGAGGCCTGGAAAAAGCCAGATCCGAGCCTGGGAGTGAGACTCGTTACCCGCTGCTGTTGCCCAAGGGGGTAGTGCTGAAGCTGAAGCCTGTTGCTAACCGTTTTTCCAGGAAGACTTGGAGGCAGAAGCGATCATCAGTTCCTCCAAGCAAAATGGTGGTCCGGGTTCCTCAGTTGATCCAGCCTGCCGCTGTCTTGCAGCCCGCTCCTGGGGTCCCTCCGCTGGGGCTCAGTGGGGACAACAGCTTTGAGTCGCCTGCAGCATTGTCCACTGTGCCCCCCGAGGCCAGGACCAGCTTCCTGTTGTCTGAGTCCCAGGCTCTGCCGCCCTCTGCCCCTGTGCCCAAGGTAATGCTGCCCTCACTTGGCCCCAGGTTTCGAAAGCCGTGTGTGAGGCGGAAACCCTCAAGAAGGAAGGGGGCCAAAGTCTTCCCGTGCCCCAAACCTGCCCCACTGATCCACTCTGCGCCTGTCATCTTCACTGTTCCTGCCACCACTGTGAAGGTTGTGAGCTTGGGCAGCGGTTGTAACGTGATCCAGCCTGTCAGCGCAGCGGTGGCCCGGAGTCCCCAGACCATTCCTATCACCACCCTCCTGGTTAACCCTGCTTCCTTTCCTTGTCCACTGAGCCAGCCCCTCGTGGCCTCCTCCATCTCACCCTTAATTGTTTCTGGAAATTCTGTGAATCTCCCTGTATCGTCCACTCCCGAAGATAAGGCCCGAGTGAATGTGGACATCAGTTGTCCTTTGGCTGAAGGGAAAAATGCCTTTCAAAGCCTGGAACCCAAATTAGAACCCCAGGAAGTAACTCCTCTCTGTGCTCCTGTCTTCCCCAAAGAGGAGTACGGCCCCAGGCCCCTGCTGGCTGGTAGAGAAGGTAGAGAAGGCCAGGTTGGATTGTCAGCAAACAGTGCCTGTGGCTGGACAGTGGTGAGCAAAGAGGAGGGGAGGCAAGGTCTGGAGCCACTGCCTCAAGGTTTCCATGGGATTCGAAACTCTTCTCCTGCCGACTTAAAGGAAGCTGTCAAGATGGAACCTGAAGACCCTGGGGAGGCGATCTCCAGTGGGCCCCCTGAGCAGCGCATTGGTGATGAAATAAAAAAGGAACGGTTTGTGGAGTGGGACTCTGGCTCCCCTCGGGAGGGGTTGAGCAGTGCTAGAGTGTTGAAGAAGCAGGCAGTCCTGCAGGAGGAGGAGGACAGGAGCCAGCCGGCTCAGACCCCTTCTGCGTCTTGGGAGCCCCCCGGCGAGGGCAGTGCAGTGGGGGATGGGAGCAGTGCCCCATCTTCTGTGGAGCCCGAGATGGCCCTCAGCAGTGCCCCGGGGAAGCCTGAAGAGGCATCTGGTGTTGGCGGCCCATCAGCGGGGGGCCCGGCAGGGCCAGAAGTTGGAGGGGAGAAGGACGGCCCTGAGGAAGAGGAGGAAGAGGACTTTGATGACCTCACCCAGGATGAGGAGGACGAGATGTCGTCAGCATCTGAGGAGTCTGTGCTTTCTGTGCCTGAGCTCCAGGTAAGAGGAGTAGCCTCAAGCATTTTGAGAATGCAGTAGCATGTTTAACTCATTGACCTGCCGTCTGCCTCTTTGCTTGCCCCCTGAGACATAGTTCTAACATGACTGGTGTTTGACTTTTGAGTGCCTTATGGGACATGATTCTGGGGCTGATGTGAAATGAGGGGGAAAGGGTAAAACTTTACCTATTATATTTGAGTTCAACTCATTTAAAAGTTAAATTGAATCACCTTGCACACTTTTTAGTGCTTTAAAAAAATAACTCCTGGGGCCGGGGATTTAGCTCAGTGGTTCTGCCGCCTGCTGCGCAAGCGCAAGGACCCAAGTTCAATCCCTGGTACCAAAAAAAAAAAAACATTGGGGCTGGGAGTGTACTTCAGCAGTAGAGCACTTGCTGACATGCGTGAGGCTATGGGTTCAATTTCTAGCACTGCAGAAAAGGAAAAAGATGACAGCTCACAAGTATGGGCTGTGGCAAAAGAAAAGTGTGTTATAGGGGAACCTTTTAAAAAGATCCTGGGGCCGGGGGTGTAGCTCAGTGGGTGGCACCTCGCCTGCCTGGCAAGTGCAAGGTCCTGAGTTCCATCCCTAATACCGCCAAAAAAAAAAAAAAAAATCTCCTGGGGCTGGGTGTGGTGGTGCACACCTGTAATCTCAGCACTCAGGAGGCTGAGGCAGGAGGATTGCTGCAAGTTGAAGGCCAGCATGAACTGAATAGCAAGACTCTGTTTCCAAAAAGCAAACAAAAAAAAAAGCTCCTGGGGTCACATATCCCAGAGGGTGTCGGCCTCCATGGCTGAACCCCAGGTCCTCTTGGCACTGCACCAGGTGTTGGCGCTTTTCGAGCCACTGGGGTGGCTTCTGAGCACTGCCTGGGGCTTGCAGGAGACAATGGAGAAACTGACTTGGCTGGCATCTGAGAGGCGCATGAGTCAGGAGGGTGAGTCTGAGGAAGAGAACTCCCAGGAGGAGAATTCTGAGCCCGAAGAAGAAGAGGAAGAAGAGGCAGAAGGAGTGGAAAGCCTGCAGAAGGAGGACGAGATGGTCGATGACACAGGTGGAGACACTGCCGAGAAGCCCCCTTCCACCCTGGCCTCCCCTACGACTGCGCCTGAAGTGGAGACCTGCAGAATCCCAGCAGGTGAGTGTAGGCGGTGTACACACTGCGGTACACACCCCTCCATTCTCCCCTGCAGCCTCCCTTCCCCACACTCGGGCTTAATGGTGCCTGTGTGGAGAGAGGCCCGCAAATGGGGAATTTGATTGTCAGCCGCTAGATTGGTACCAGCTTGTTCAAGGTTCTCGTACTGGTCCTTGCCTTATCTTCCATGCATGGGGTTGAGCTGTGTTTATTTCAGAAAATGGTTCCTCATCAAGATGCAGTACCTTGCAGCTCCCACACTCACTCTTTAGACTTCCTTTCTCAGGAGGCAGTGGTCTGTTGTTGCTTTGTCGTCCCAGGTAATGTGGCTGAGCTGCAGGCCCTGAGTGGAGCTGACCTGATGGGGCGGGCTTGCCTTTCAATAGCAGGTTCTCAGCCACTCTTCTCCTGAGTTGCTTGCAACATGGACTAGGGCTTCACGGGGCGGTGTGTGTGGTGGGGATGATGGGAGGTACAGAGATTACGTGGCCAAGAAATAATCTTCTCACGTGTACCCCAAGGAGAGAATATCAAAGCTGCTGGAAAGGGCCGGAGCAGCCATCGAGCTCGCACCAAGCGTGGAAGCCGTGCTCGGGCCAGCAAGGATGCCTCCAAGCTGCTGCTGCTCTACGATGAGGACATTCTCGAGCGGGACCCGCTGAGGGAGCAGAAGGACCTGGCCTTTGCCCAGGCTTATCTGACCAGGGTAGGCAGCTGCTCTTCTGTCACTGCCAGGCCCTGTGAGTATGGCCTTTCTCCCTCACAGAGATGCTTTCAGAGTGAAGTCTGGGGCTGGGGTGTAGTTTACTGGTGAAGCGCCTGCCTACCACATGCATGGCCATGGGCTCAATTCCCAGCAGTGCTGGAAGAAAAAAAAGTCTGACTTTCAGACTGTGAAACAGGATGTTGGGCTGTGCCTTAGCTGGTCTGGAATTACAAAAGCACTCTGAGAGCCGTAAGGAGATAGTTCATCAAACCTGGGTGATGTGAGCGCCCTAGGGTCATTTCTCTTGTGCCCAGAGAGGGGGAAGGCGATTCCTCTTGGCAGTGACTTCTCCTGAGCCGAAGGCTCTGGAAGAGTAACTGCAGGTACACGGGCCAGGGTGTGGATCTCAGACGTGGACCCCCCTGTGTCCAGTCCTGTCCTGGGTGAGGCCTCTTCTCTTGCAACCAGCTGGTTCCTTCATCCAGCTGGGAAGGTGAGTAATGCAGTGATAGTTACAGCTTCGCTTGGTCTCTTAATATTTTCTGAACATCCTAGATTTACGTATTAGGTGTCCTCGAATGGCACTTAGGTTGAAATACTTTATTTCATTATGTGCTGAAGTCAGGAGGGAGAGCTTCGGGTTGTGAGCTAGAGAAAGCCATTAGCTTGTTTTGTGGGCGAGACTGTGGTCTCTGGAAAATGAAGGTTTTCTTGTTGCTCATTAGCAGAAAACAGCTCTACTTTTATCGTTTCCCGAGATTTTGTTGTTGTTGAGACAAGGTCTTGCTGTGTAGCCCAGGCTGGCCTCAAACTCATGGCGATCCTCAGCCCTCAGCCTCAGCCTCTCCCAAGTGCTGGGATTACAGGCATGTCCCACCACGCCCAACTCACCAATTTCAGATAATTATGTGTGCTGTGGCTTGAACCCAGGGTCTCGTGCATGGCAAGCAAGCACTCTACCACCTAGCTACATCCCAAACCCTCCGAGTCTTCTATTAACTATCAGGTGTGAGTGCCTCTGAAGGATAGTTCTTGGTGCTCCCTGGCCATGACCCCTACTTTTCCCCTGTGCCTTTGCTTCTTCTTGGCCCAAAGAAAGGGTGCCGATGATGGGAAGTCTTCCTGTGTAGGTACGTGAAGCCCTTCAACACATCCCTGGCAAGTATGAAGACTTCCTCCAGGTCATCTATGAATTTGAGTCAAGTTCCCAGAGGCAAACGGCTGTGGATCTCTATAAAAGTCTACAGATTCTGCTCCGAGACTGGCCTCAGTTGTTGAAGGACTTTGCTGCATTCCTCTTGCCTGAGCAAGCTCTGGCCTGTGGATTGGTAAGTAAATGGGCAGAAACAGCATACTGGTCCCCTGACTGTCTCTAGACAGGTTCCCCGTGCCCTTTCCCCAAGGTGGTAAGAGTCTCCGTCTTTTCAGGGAGAGTTCTTCCCAACCCTCTTCTCGTTTCCTCTTTTCCCTCTCCTCCCGTCCCCTGCTCTCCCTGCTTGTGTTGAACCCAGGACTTCGCACTGAACTCCATCCCCCCCCGCCCCCCTTTCCTGAACAGGGTCTTACTGAGTTGCCCAGGCTGGGCTTGAACGTCAGTCCCTTGTCTCAGCTTCCCAGCCTGCTGGGTTTACAGGCTTGTGCCACCACCCCACACATGCCCCCCGGTTGTTTCGATGGCAAGTGAGAAGGTTTTAGTTGCCGCTGGGACCTTCCTTAGTCGCTCTGCTCCTCTCTGGTATGAAACAGGCATTCCCTTAGTAAATATTTGCAGAGTCTGAGGCAGTGTCAGACCAAGTTCTAAACACTAGGAATACAGCGGTTAGAAAAGGCTAGGGCAGGGTGGTGGCGCATGCCTGTAATGCCAGCACTTGGGAGGCTGAGACAGGAGGTGCATACAGTTTGAGCTGAGTCCAGGCAATTTAGCAATTTAAGCCCTGTGTCAAAATAAAAAATAAGAAAAGGGCTGGGGGATATAGCTCAGTGCGAAGGTGCTGGGTTCAATCCCCAGTACTGGGGGAAAGTCCCTGCCTTCAAGTTTATATTCTTGTGGGAAGAGTTAGGTGTAAATATATAAAATTACATAATGTACAATGTATAGATTATGAAATAAACAGCATGTATATGTATCTCTGTGATACTTTATATTGATGATGCATACAGAAAACTAAAGGGAGAGGGGCCGGAGAGTTGCAGATGTGTGCAGGGCTGGTGTGCGCCGTTTGACACACGGTGTCTGGAAAGGCCGGGGTGGCAGGTGCTGTTTGAAATGTTGAGGAGCACACACTTCGGCAGCACATGTACTAAAACTGAAGTGTTGAGGGATAGGAATTCAGTGAGAGTTGTCCCACTTGTCCTGGACTTCCTGTCATGACCATTAGGTAGAGGAAGAAAGGGATGATGGTCTTAGGCCGGTTAATGGGTGATTATGCATACGATGGCCATCTCCTCAGATGGGTGCGTATCCACGTGAGTTTGGGTGTCTATTTCATGATCCAGAAAACAGTAATTTGAGATGTTCACAGCTCTTGAGTCTTTTGTTCAAATCTTAGTTCTTGGGACCCAGGGTGGATGGATGCTCGAGTTTTGAACAGTCCTGCTGAGCCCCTGTACCCATGTTCTCAGTTCTCATCCTCAGTGCCCTTAAGGCCTTGCTGTGTATCTGACTCCTCTTTTGCCTCCTTCCACTCTGGTAGTTTGAGGAGCAGCAGGCTTTTGAGAAGAGTCGCAAGTTCCTTCGGCAGCTCGAGATTTGCTTTGCAGAAAACCCCTCACACCACCAGAAGATCATCAAGGTCCTCCAGGGCTGTGCGGACTGTGTCCCTCATGAGATCACAGAGGTATTCTTTCCTTCCGGCTTCCTTTCCGTCCTCTGGGCCCCAGGCCTCTCCTGCTGTCCCTGTAGTCTGTTCGAATCTTCGCTCTGGAGCGTCACAGGCTCCTGGAGGAGGAGCCTCTGCGCTCCGCGTGGGAAGCAGGCTGATCAGGAATCAGATCTGTCACGAACACCCTGCCCCTGCAGCTGGCCAGCAGGGAGGCGAGTTTTGAGAATTCTGTCACAGGGAGCAGAATGTGGGCGTGTATGTGCCTGCTTTGATTTGTGTCTTGAGTCTCTGGAGATGCCATCTTTGTCTGTGCCACTCTCCTCAGCTCAAGACACAGATGTGGCAGCTCCTCAAGGGCCATGATCACCTACAGGACGAATTCTCGATCTTCTTTGATCATCTGCGCCCAGCAGCAAGCCGGATGGGTGACTTTGAAGAGATCAGTTGGACGGAAGAGAAGGAGTATGAGGTACAGGACCTGCGGCTGCAGGAGGGTGTGCAGGGACGCCGCTGGCGGGAGGGACCCCCCTGGGGTCTGTGCTCAGCGCCACCACCTCCTCCCCAGTTTGATGGCTTTGAAGAAGTGGCGCTGCCTGATGTGGAGGAGGAAGAGGAGGCTCCCAAGATCCCCACAGCCTCAAAGAACAAGAGAAGGAAAGAGGCTGGGGCTCAGAATCATGACAAGGTACGTCAGGCTGCTGAGGGCTGTCCGCTTCTCACGGGCTGAGCCTGCGCTTCTCCCGAAATGCTTCTCTGGCTTGGTCTGGTCCAGAGCTTCTGCTCAGTGTCTCCGGGATCTGGTGAGAACCCAGTCCAGATGCCTGACTGCTGTGGACACGCAGAGCCTGGCGAACGCAGTGTAGACACATCAAGGCCCAGGAGTCCCCCAGCTCAGAGCTGTTTTCTCACTCTTGGTCTTTGCACTTTTTTTCACGGAGAAACGTACTGAAGGCGTCCTGAACGTATATTCAGGTGCAGCAGCAAATACTGAGCCATGTTACCAAGTATCAGCATCACTTGGAAGTCTTCTATGTTGCTTATTAACTCAGTTCTCACAATAATCCCATACAGTTTTGTTTTTTGTGGTTTTTTGGGGGTTGGTTTTGATTTTTTGAGAGAAGGTCTCACTATGTAGTTCAGGTTGGCCTTGAATGCAAGGCGATCCTCCTGCTTCAGCCTCCTGAGTGGTGGGATTACAAGCATGTGCCACCAGGCCCAGTTTGGAGAGACTGTTATTGTTTGCATTTTACAGAAGTAGCTGAAGTGCAGAGAGGCTGTGCCAGGGTCACATTTAGCACTTGGCAGCTGGGATGTGAGCCCAAGTAATCCAGCTCTAGTCTGCTCAAACTCACTGTTCTTCAAGAGTATGTTTATTTGCTGTGTATCTTCACTCTTCTCTGTGGAGAAACTGCATTGTAGAACAACCTTGGGCAGTGTGTATTTAACGTTTCTGTTTCAGTTTTTTCACCATAATTGGGGCAATAGTGGTCTTTATGTCTTGGGTTTATTAAACAGAGAGTATCACCGAATGAGCCTTCCGTAGGTACAAAGTCCTCTCTTGGGACATTCGGAGGAGAGGGGAGAGCTAAGGGAGGCAGAAATGGGAGACAAACCCAGATAGGCACATGAGTAGATCAGTTCTCACCTGGGCCGCTTCTGACTTTCCTTCAGCATCTCTTAGACTTGGAACATCTGGGCAGTTAGGCTAGGCTGGTCTTTGAGCTGGGTAGGATCGTTTCTGGGATTCATATTAGGCTTTTATCTGGTTAGGGCCTGTGACTTCCCTAGGCAGTGGGATGCAGTGGTATTAAGAGAAAGGGGAGGAGGCTTCTTCGAATGGCTTGCAAGTTAGCTTCCTTCCTTGGCACTAATCAAGGCCAGGTGTCTTACAGGAGACTGAGTGGCCAGATGGGGCCAAGGACTGTGCCTGTTCCTGCCACGAAGGGGGTCCCGATTCCAAGCTGAAGAAGAGCAAGCGGAGAAACTGTAGCCACTGTAGTGGCACCAAGGTGAGGAACATGCCCCGCTGCCCAGGGTTGGACCTGAGGCTGTCAGCAGTCAGGGTGACCTCAGGACACGGTGTTAACAAGGGTCATTTTCTACCACGGGTTTTTACCTTCTTGATTTCCTAAGAAGGTTACACACATAACTAATACACTATGCACATAAGTGTACATATCAAAATAAATTGATTTTTTTTTTTCTTCTGGTACCGGGGATCAAACTCAGGCAGGACCTTGCGGTTGCCAGGTGTTTTTTTTGGTCTCTTTTTTTTTTTGGTACCGGGGATCAAACTTGGGACCTTCCACTTTCGAGGCAGGCACCAGAACCACTGAGTTAAATCCCCGGCCCGATTTTTTGGTTTTTTGGGACAGGGTCTCCCTCTGTAGTTGAGGCTGGCCTCCAACCCCCTAAATAGCCCAGGTAGGCCTTGAACTCATGGCACTTTTCCTTGCCTCAGCCTCTTACGTGCTGGGATTACAGGTGTGTGCTGCCATACCCAGCCTATGAATTTCATTTATTTATTTATTTATTTATTTTTAGGCACTGGGGCTTGAACTCGGTCCTCCTTGTGTTTGCGCAGCAGGCGGCGAAACCACTGAGCTAAATCCCCGGCCCCAAGATTATGAATTTTAAAAGAAATACAAAATAGATTTTGCTTTTCAAAGAGTTATGAGTAAAGCTTTTGGAATGGGGGTGGGGTGGTGGTGAATAGTTCAAATATTTTCAACTCTTTATTTTTATTTATTTATTTTTTTGGTACTGGGGATCAAACTCGGGTCCTTACACTTACACAGCAGGTGGCAAAACCACTGAGCTAAATCCCCAGCCCCAACTCTTTTCTTTTTTTTTAGTGAAACAAATGTCAGAAAAATAGATTTAAAAGTAACTCAGTTTCTCCAGAATGCCTTTGGTTGGCAGCAAAAGTGCAGTCCTGAGTAGTAGTGGGGCCTGCTCTGGGCTCTTGCACACAGCCAGCCCAAGACAAAGGTCAGGTCAGCCCTGAGGAAGGCCATCCCTGCAGGTCTGTGACAGCAAACCCTACAAGCACAAGGAGCCACCCGAGTCTGTGAGCAGCAGCCCCCATGGAGAGGCCAGCCCTGGGCGCAGTGCGAAGGAAGCAGGGCCAGGCAAGGAGCTGGGGGAAGAGGAGGCCCTGGAGGACCCGGAGAGCACCGACGCTCCGCAGAGCAGGGCGGGCAGGGCCGCCCGCAAGGGGGAGGCACCTATTCCAGGTGAGTGGCCAGCACCAGGCAGGACCAGCCTACCTTCTCGCTGGGGCCTAAGCCTCTCTCCCACCTGAAGAGCAGCCTTTGAGGGATGGTAGACCTGGTGTACTCGGGCCACTCATCACAGAAGGAAGGGTGCGGAGGTCCTGAGATTCTCTCCAAGTCCTCCCTGCCCAAACTGTCACGACGGCCCTTCTGGCTCTGGTGGGGGATTTCTGTCAGTGGAAGTGATTTCCCAACTTCTTCACACGTGAACTGTCGCAGCAGATCCCTACAGTGACTCGTAGTTTTCAGTCCTTAGGTACACTCTGATCCTGTCCATGTCCTTAGAGCTTGTTTCCCTCCTACCCAGGGTCGGCAGTGCGGAGCCTGTTGCTGTCCCCTCAAGAAGTGCCTCTTACGGACCATCTCCCAGAGGGCCCCCCAGCCCCACCAGAGACCCCTCAGTGCCCTCCCCCGACTGCAGCTGAACTGGACGCTGTGCAGAGAAGCCAGGCTGGGCCTGAGGGTCCTTCTGCCAGTGCATGCGCCAGGCCCGAAGAAGGGGCCAGCCGAAAGGCAGCGGGTGACTCAGAGGCCGCCTCTCGGGGCTGGGATGCCTTGCAGCCTGAGCCATTGCTGGGCACTGTGGAGACCCCTGCCCCTTCCCTGAGTCCTGCTTCCTCGAGGACCAGAGTCATTGGGAGGAGACTCACACCCGGGAAGCCAGACCCTCAAGACAGCTGGCTGCCCTCGAGCAGAGCTGGGGCAAGGAGAGCCAATAGGACGTCCCCTGGCCACGAACCGTCAACAGGAATGGACACCTCAGAGACGGCTCCTGAAGCACCCAAAAGGAGTCTGGCTAAAGACGGGGGTGTTCAGGGCAGGGGTCTGGAGGGGGAGCAGCAGCTGAAGGCCACAGAAGCTACCGTGTGTGCGAACAACAGCAAGGTCAGCTCCACTGGGGAGAAGGTTGTCCTGTGGACCAGGTGGGTCAGGCTGCAGGGTGTATGGAAAGAGCCTGGGTCACCCCACGTGGCTCCAAAGGGCTAACCCTGGCTGCGTTACAGGGAAGCGGACCGAGTGATCCTCACCATGTGTCAGGAACAGGGAGCGCAGCCGCAGACCTTCAGCAGCATCTCTCGGCAGCTGGGAAACAAGACCCCAGCCGAGGTGAGTGGTGGGTGGGGAGTTGCGTGGTGTTGGGGACACCACCTGTCCTTGCCCAAGTCCGAGGAACCAAGTGAGCGAAGGGCATAACCATGAGGGTGGCAGCGGCTCTAGAAGAGGAAGGACATTAGATGGGAGTCAGAAGGCCCTGGTCTCCATTCTCTTTGGTTTTAGGAGTGTGACTCTGGGAAAACCCTTGACTTCCAGAGTTCCTCACGTGTGAGGACACTGCCCTCTCAACATTACCGTGTGGAATAAGTACGGTTTTCCAGGGTGATGCCCAGGTGTCCGAAATGTCAGTGTTACTAGTTTAGAAAAGTGAACGAGCCTCTCTCCTCGGTCAGGTCTCCCACCGCTTCCGAGAACTCATGCAGCTCTTCCACACGGCCTGTGAGGCCAGCTCTGAGGACGAGGATGATGCCACCAGCACCAGCAACACGGACCAGCTGTCGGACCACGGGGACCTGCTGTCTGAGGAGGAGCTGGATGAGTGAGCCTGGGCCCAGGCTGTCACCTGCGCAGGACCGTTTCCGCAGGCAGCCAGCACTGGGGATGGTGTGAGAGCTCTGCACACAGCTGCAGAGGAGCTGAGGACAAGGACCTCGTGACGGTGAGCGGGCCCAGGGCTGTGTCCTGTGCCTCTGGGGCAGACCTCCTGAAGGCCTTCCAGTTCCACTCTGTAAATGACCACTGATGGAGTGGGGTGCTGCTCCCCTCCCTCCTTGTCGGAGGGTACCTATTTATTGTTGTGTGGGCCACAGTGTCTCTTAACTGTAATAAACGCTGTGTCACGTAGCCAGTCCCAAGACACTGAGCTCCCCTGCTGAGGATGCTGGGCTCTGTGGCCAGCAGTTTTTATTGCAGAGGGATCCCCACCCTGAGAGCGTCAGTCTGTGAGGCTGTCGCTCTCCCGGTAGCACTGGGCCAGGCTGTGCAGCTCCTGCAGCAGCTCTTCCACGTCGCCCTGTTCCACCCCCGTGTCCAGGAAGCTGGCCCAGCGCCGCAGGTCGAGTTGCTCGAGCTCCTTGGCCAGGGCTCCCAGGGTCTGGTGCAAGGACGAAGAGGAGCGCAGGGCCCCCAGCACCGGGATGCTCTGCTCCGCTGTGGAGGAGACAAGTGTGGCTGAGTGGGGCATACGCATTCTGCCCGGGACTCTTGGTGAGCCGACAGGGAGGCGTGGGTGCGTGCTCGTTAGGCATGGCTGTGAAGGAGATTTGGTGAATTGTGTGCAGCCCCTTCAGTCTGCCCACCACTCCAGAGGAAGGGTACTTCTCAGGAGCGTAGAGCGAATAAAGGAATGTTTACCTGGACTTTTCCAAAAAGCACTTCAATCCAGGAGGAGCCAGTAAAACCCCTCCCCATGCCTGGAATCTTAGTTTTCTTCAGCTCATACTTACCTGTGCCCCTGAGGGGACAGCCAGGAGCCACCCCCTGCTGGCCGAAGCTGGAGGAGAAGAAGGGGGGGTACGGAGGGGCCACCCTGCAGGGGGTCAGCAGCAGATGGGAAGAGCTGTGGGGCAGAGACTGCCGTTAAGGAAGGAAGGCATGGCGGAGGGTCTGCGAGAAGGCAGGAGCACTCGGCCTGCTGACCTTGCCACTCTGGGCTGCTGCTCTCGTAAATACTGGGCCAAGACTTCTTCCCCGGTGGTGCAGGCGTGGAGCAAGGATGGCAGCGGTGTCCCTGGGGGGAGCAGACTGCGGAGCAAAGCCAAAACTGCCTTTACTCTGGCAGCCACAGTAAGAGCCGAGGAGCTTCCATGCGCAGAAGATGGGGCCCTTAGCTGAGTCAGAATGCTCAGAGCCGCCCCACCCCACTTGTTTTCATTTTTAAAAAGGAGGGTGATTGTGGTGAGAGGAAGCGATGGCATTGGAATGCCTTGGCAGAGAAAGGGACAGGGACCAACAGTTCTGACCTCGTGTGACTTGCTTTGTCTACACCCCTTAGCACCACTGACTGGGCGAAGCAGCGTGTTCCAGAGGGGTCCCCACATGCAGACAGCGGGGTCCACGGGGTGGTTCCTCCAAGCTGTATCAGGGCATCGGGAAGGGACTGGGCTGGAAGCCAGGGAAAGGGGATGAGTGCTTCAGCTGTCACCACCTAAAGATGAGGAGATCGGTTACAGAGCCCTTTCTCAGCACTGAGCCCACTCCTCCCGAAGCCGCATACCTTCTTCCCAGAGTAGGTCAGCATATCTCCCAGCCGGACCATGGAAACCAGAGAGGAATGGAGGCGGTAAGGAGCCGTGACTGTGTCCAGCGCTGTGGCCAGAATGGCACTGCAGTGGAAGGGCAGGGTGGCCTGTAAGAGGACATGAGCGCACTCAGGCTTCCAGGCCTGTAAAGGAATGGAGGCAGAAGAGTAATGGCAGAGGTCAGAGGGTGAAGCAAGGGCATGCTTGGCCACGGCTGGACAAGCTCGGGATGGTGGGATCCAGGAGGCCACGGCATCGTTGAGTTCAACTAAAGGGCTTCGAGAATAGCCACAGCCCAGGGGTGACTTGGGGAGTGCGGGTGACCCATGGCCAGCTGTGGGCAGGTCAGGCACCCAGCCTTACGTCGTAGTGCAGGGAAGGGAAGTTCACGGGTGGCTGAGGTCGCAGGCCCAGGCTCCCACTCACGGACAAGGGGCAGACGAAAGAGCTGTGAGCCGTCAGGCGCACCAGACCGAACACTGTGTTTAACAGACGGTAGATGTTTTTCTGTGGTTCCTGGTGAAAGAACGGTTTGCCTCAAGCAACTTTTCCCATAGTATTCTCATTTCTGCCTCTCCATGCTGACTTCCTTCTCCCCAAGTTCCACTTACCCCAGGGTTGCAGGGGCCAGGCAGAAGGCCCCAGGTTATCACTCCCCGCCCAGAATACTCGTCTTGTAGCAGCTCTGCAGCCTTGGTGCCCAGCCCAGAGAAGCCATCGTGCAGGTCACACAGGATCTGGAAGCCCTGGAGAAAGGAGGAAGGATAAAAATCAAGAGTAGGATGGGGAGTTCTGCCCTGCGTTCGTCTTGCCACACAGCTACCTGCAAGTAGTCACATTCTTCCACGTAGAAGTGCAGCCTGTCCTCCAGCTCCTCCAAGTACCTGGGTTCCTTCAGGATACTCTCTCCTTGGCCAAAAGCCTCCAGCCTCCCTGTTTCCCTGCCACAGCGAAAGAGTCTAAGATGAAACCTTCACCCTCCTACCCCAGCTTCTCCATCTCTTGGGAGAAGATGGCCCAAGAGCAATTTGTGGGGCCCTCAGCTCCTTGCCTCCTGGCCTCAGGTCTCCTTCCATACCCATCATGGTTGTATTTGTGAATCAGACAGATGCTCCGCGGGTGGAGGTGGACTCTGAGGAAGTCTGACCAGACTCTGATGCTGCTTGCCGCAGGGACGAGTGGCTTTGGCTTTGGAGCGCTGGTGACTGGTGGGGGACCTGAACACAGCAGGAGGGTGTGCACCCGTCTGTCCCACCTGGCCTCCCATCCAGTTCCCAGCTCTCCGGGATTGGAGCAGGCTCACCTTTGCCATTAGGGATGGATTTGACCCTCCAGACACCATTGCTAAGCACTCCCTGAAAGAAGTGATGAAAAGCTTTATTTAGTTCCAGGCCATACCTTGCAAACGACCCCCCCCCCCCCCATCTTTTTTCCAGTACCAGAGATTGAACTCAGGACCTTGCGGTTTCGAGGCAGGCTTGGTGCCAGTGAGCTTAATCCCTGGCTTCTCTCTCTCTCTTTTTTTTTTTGAGACAGGGTCTCGCTATGCAGTTATTGGCCTGGAACTATGTACACCAGGCTGGCCTCAGACTTGTGGTAATCCTCCTGCCTCAGCCTCCCCAATTCTGGGATTACAGACATGCCTCATCATTCCCCGCTGCAGCCTCTTTCTGTTTAGGTCATCACAGTCCTTCGCAAAAGTGCTCTTTCCCAAAATACTACTTTAAGGTGACCCCCTGCCTCTGCCCCAGTGGAGGCTCTTGGGTTTTAGCCAGGGTTAAAGGGCGCAGGGTAGAGGCCCTCACCTCTGCATTCTGAAAGTCCTGGAGATAAGGATTCTTGGGATAGACTTCCTCCTCTTTGTGTGTGGTGAGCTTGCCCTGCCTGAAAAAGATTGGTCAAAAAACTGTCACTATGAAGAGACATCCGGCTTTTTGTGCCCTACGCACCCCACACATGAAGTACACACCATGCTATGGCAGCATCCAGCTGTTTGTCCCTGTAGAGTCCTCCTTCCTCTTTTAGAGAGCTCAGACTGCCTGCGAGGAAGTAACAGGAAATCCTAGGTCAAAGCCTAGGGCAGCCTTCACGGCCCTCAGGCTTGTCTCCCAGATGCATCTAACAGCCTGCCCAGCAGCTGGCTCTCCCAAAATTTCCCAGAGGTACGGGGAGGGTGGTGTCCAGAAGAATACAGATCCCATCCTTGCTGTCGCAGCTCGGTCGCTCCGAGTCCCGGCGGAGCGTGGCCGATCCGCGCCTCTCTCGGGCTAGCATTCAGGTCTTGATCGCCCGGCCCACCAGGGGAGGTTCCCGAGGAGCAGGGGTGCTACAGACTGCGCCACCCTCACCCTTCAGGTCCATGAGGATGAGTCTCGGCGTGTAGGTTTCCTGGCCGTGCAGCGTCCGGCCCGTCCGGTACAGGACGTCGGGGCACAGCTCTCCTGGTGGCTCCGCGCCATCGGTGGCCCTGCCCAGCGCGGCATCCTGGGGAAGCCAACAAGGGAAACTGGACTCGGGTGCGACAGGGCGGAAGATTCCGAACGATTCCGTAGGGACAGCTCCCGGGAGCCCTCACCTGCTGGTTCCACCAGTGTGCCCCCACGAAACCCGCAAAGTGCCCGAATTGCAGCGTGAGCACCTCCCGGGGCCCGCCCGCCATGCCGCGGAGCCCACTCTGCGGGACTGCCCTGCGCGTCCGCTCGCCGCTCTTAGCTGATTGGCTCGACAGGCTTGTGGGCGGGCCCCAGCCTCTGCACTCTATTGGTCCACAGATACATCCTTTTCCATTGGATAAACGGTTCGCAGGGCCTCGTCCCGCTTGGCCTCTTCCTGGCGAGGGGAGGGGCTCCGCTGGCCGCGCCGGAAGTCGGGCCGCCTCACCGCGGCCGCCTTCCGCTCTCGCTAGGCACCCTCCAGTCCCGGAGCTCCTCCGGGCGGCGCTGTCTCTTCTCAGAAAAACAACTCCTGGCCGGGTTGCATCACAGGTTGATTCCCCGGTACCGGAAAACAAAGTCCCTTAAAGCTTCCCACGAACGCCTTCGTCTCCAGGTCACAGCCGGCGTGACCTCCTGCCCCGTGGACTGGTCGGGCCTCTGTCAGTGTCTGACAGGTATCAGTCCACGAATGGGAGCCCGTCTCCTTACCAGGTGTGACATTTGTCTCTCTTGGGGCGTATACTTTTGTTGATTTCATCGTTGCACAACAGTCCGTCGTATGGCTATCCCAAATGACGCATTCTGCAGACCGCCAGTTCTGCTGCTAATGGCCTTTGAGATATTTGCCTCCCGTGCCTAGGCACGTATTTCTAGGAGTTTTGTTTCGTTTTGTTTTGTTCCTCACTCTGTAGCCCAGGCTGCCCTCGAACTCTCAGCAGTCCTACCTCAGCCTCCCGAGTGCCGGGATTACAGGCGCGCACCACCATGCCCTGTTAGGAGTGTTGTTGCAGGGGTGAGGTTGGGTATGGTTTGAATTTGATAAAAAAAGATACATTTCCTAAAAATTCTTTACTAGTACATTGCCACCAACAGTACGTCAGTCGATGTTCCATAAACGGCACCATTTAAAAATTTTCAGTCATTATCACATGGTTTTACTTTTTGTATTAGTGAGGTCGAGCGCACCATTTCGTGTGTGTCAGCCTTCGGGCCTCCCTTTGCCTGAAATGCTTGTTCGTGCCTCTTGTTCGGGGTCCTTTTGGGTTGATTGTTGTCGGTGCAGTACTTTATTGTGGATCTAAGTGCATTTTCAGTTACACGTGTCGAAAATACTTTCTCCCACAGTGGTTTGCCTTTTGATTTTCTTTTTTTTTTTTTTTGGTGCCGGGGATCGAACTCGGGTCCTTGAGCTTGCGCAGCAGGCGGCGAAACCACTGAGCTAAATCCCCGGCCCCGGCCTTTTGATTTTCTTAAAAGAGGTCCTTTGATGCTGGGCGTGGTGGCACTTTCCTGTAATCTCAGCACTTCGGAGGCTGAGGCAGGGAGATCACCACGAGTTCGAGGCCAGCCTTGGGCTACATAGTGAGCTCAGAGCCAGCCTGAACTACACAAGGAGACCCTGTCTCCAACCAAAAAAAAAAAAAGAAAAAGGAAAAAAAAAAAGAGGACTTTTGAAGAACAGGTTTTTTTACTTTGTTGTCTGTAGTGCAGGGGATAGTCGTATTTATTATCTTCCCAAATGTTGTATTTTTGTGGTGCTGGGACCAAACCCAGGGCCTCACGCTTGCTAGACAAGTGTTCTACCACCAAGCTAAATCCCAGCCTCTTACTTTGTTTTGAGACAGGGTCTTGCTAAATTGCCCAGGCTCACCTTGAACTTGTGATCCTCCTGTGTCAGTCTCCTGAGTAGCTGGGGTTACAAGTGTACATGCAACTCATTTTTAAATTGTGTGGTTTATCTTAATAAGTTAAAGCAGTATTTTATATATTCTGTGTACATATCCTTTATATGATGCAAGTCTATTTTGCAGAGGAAAACTTTTTACTTTAAGTCTAGCTTGTAAAATCTTTTGAGTCAAAATTTTCTAATTTGAATACCTTTGGTGGCTTAAGAAATATTTGCCCAGTTCAAGATGATGTCCTCCTATGTTTGTTTATTTTCTGAGACAGAGTTCTGCTCTGTTGTCCAGCTGGTATCAAAGTCCTGGGCTCTAATGAGGCTCTCACCTCTGCCTTCCTGGAAGCTGGGATGGTAGATGTGCCCTGCTGCCCTGAATGTGTTTTATTGTGTTTTATAGTTCACTTCTTCCATTTAAGCCCACAATTTATTAAATTTGTCTGATGTGAAGGGGCAACATTCATCTTTCTGCATGTACATCCAGTTTTCCCAGCAATATTTATTGAAGGTTACATCCTTCCTCATTGAATTGTGTTGACATCTCTGTTGGAAAATCAATTGACTATAAATATAATAAAGGTCACTTTTGGATTCTGCTTTGTTCCATTGGCCTGATACCTACTTGTATGCTAATACCACACTGTTTTGATTACTGTAGCTTTTTACATTTGTTTAAAAAAATTCAGTATAATGATTTAAAAATTATTTTGGCTATTAAAGGTTTGTTAATGTCCATATAAATTTATAAATTTGAGTCAGTTTTCAACTTTTGCAAAAAATTATTTTTTGGTGGTGGTTCTGGAGATGAAATTTAGGGCTTTACACCTGCTAGCCAGTGGCTCTGTTCCTGAGCTATGCTTCTTGCCGACCGAAGTCTCTGTAAGTCAACCTGGCACCACTGAGCATGAACAGAACTGAGTCTTCCAGTCAGTGAATGTAGACTGTCTTCCCATTTATTTAGATCTCAATTTCCCTCAGTAATGTATTGTGTACATTTCACATTTCTTTTACTGTTAATGTGAACAGAATTACTTTAATTTCATTTTTTGGATGGTTCATTGCTGATAAAGAGAAATACAATGGACTTGTATCTATTGATCTTATATTATTGTGACCTTGTTTTTGTTCTAGTACATTTTGGGGGCTATCGTAAGGTTTCTACATCCAGGACAATGTATAAAGGCAGTTTTGATTGTTCCTTCCAGTCGGATCTAGTCGAGTGATGAAGAGGAGCCCCAAAGGTTAGCTGTGTAGTTGCTCAGCATGGAGATCATAAATAGGGGTGTGGCTGGGTGTGGTGGTGCGTTCCTGTAATCCCAGCTATTTAGAAAGCTGAGGCAGAATGATTGCAAGTTTGAAGTCAGGCTGGGCTGCTTAGTGCAAACTTATCTCAAAATAAAAAATGAAAACAGAAGCCAGGCATGGTTGTAATCCCAGCAGTTGGAGGCTGAGGCAAAACAATCTCGAGTTCAAAGCCAGCTTGGGCTAGAGTCTGGACTACAGACGCTGTCTCAAAAAAAGAAGCAAAACAGAACAAAGCAGTATGGCTGCTTTGATCCCAGTACTCGAAAGAAAAAAAAAAATCATTTGAGTTATGAACATCAGGACTGCAGAAGGTGCTTATGGAAAGGTGGACTGGATAGGGCAGATGTTTGAGTCAGAAAAACTGAGTTGTGTTTAGCAGCCTCGTAAGAAGAGGCAGTTCTTCAGCAGGACTCTACACACCAGCGATGATTCAGATGCACACCTGTGTCTGGAGTGGAGCTGCCTGAGGTGGGTGTTTTCCCAGCGCCATGTGCAGCCAAGGATCAAGCCTGCCAGTATGGTTTAGTGCTGGCCACGCCCTGATGAGAGTAGTGACACCTTGTGACCCCAGGAGACACAAGCACTGGATTCTGGGGACCAGCGACCACGGTCATTACCCTGGCAGATGTTCTCACTGGCAGTGGTGCCCTTGCCACAGTACCTTCCCGGTGGGATGGCAGGGTGTTGTCCATGGCGGCAAAGCCCATGACACTGCCCTCTTGGAGCGCTGTGTTTTGTAATCCCTTCTTTTAAAATGAGTTTGAGGGCCAGGGATTTAGCTCAGTGGTTCCACCGCCTGCCTCGCAAGCTCGAGGACCGAGTTAGATTCCCAGTCGGTACTAAAAAACAAAAAACAAAAAACTTAATTCTAAATTGAGTTTGAATGGGCACTTAATTTACACGAAAAAATGGTGACACATTATATTTCCAAGAAAAATGCAGAAACATCGATGTATATGATACACTTTGTGTATGGGGGGGTGGTATTTAAAAAAAAAGAATACTCTAGCATTGGGGATTTAGCTCAGTGGCACTACCGCCTGCCTCGAAAGCGCAAGGTCCCGAGTTCGATCCCCAGTACCAAAAAAAAAAAAAAAACCAACACATAAATTTAGCCTAGTGTGGTGGCCCAGGCCTTAAACTCCAGCTACTCAGGAGGCTATGGCAGGATTGCAAATTCAAGGCTGGCCTGTGCAAATAGTGAGACACTGACTTGAAAGCAGAAAGGGACCACGGATATACCTCAGTGGAGGAGCACTTCTTAGCACACCTGAGGCCTAGCAATCCTCAGTATTACAGCACCCCCGTTCCCCCAGTGTAAAGGTGAACTAGAAAGCCCAGTGATCCAAGTGGAGGGATGCAGAAGTCAGGGCTCCAGAGAAGCACACAAAAGGGATCTAACCTGAACCCCTCTGCACCTCCACAGCTGGCTATGCGGCCTCTGTGTGCCCGATGCCAGCACATCACTCCAGTGACGCTGACACCCTGCAAACCCTGCCCCTTCCACGGGTTCCTGGGACTGGAGCAGGGTGGGAGTGAGTTGTTTCTTTTTTTTTTTTTGGTACCTGGATTGAACTCAGGACCTTGCACTTGCCAGGCAGGCAGGGTGCCACTGAGCTACACCCCCAGCCCTGGTAGTTCTGTGTGTGATAGAGATCTTTTTAAAATAATGCATCAAGTCTAGATTATAAAAATTTGCAAAAAAAACCCCAACAAAACCACAAGCTGAGGATCACTATATTAGTGATCTGAATTAGTATTTTCCCAATTCTCCCAAGGATGGTACATAGACAACACAAATCTAAGAGCATTAAAGGTAAGTCAATTCATTCTTTAGTGTATGGCGTATAGATTTAGTGCTCACTTCCCTCAGGAGCCCGTGGGAAGGGGCTGTACCATACAGCGCTGCTTGGGTCTCTACCTGGGAGCATCAGGGATAAGAGTGTGAATGCCCAGGAGGGAGAATGAGACTGTGAAACTTAATCTCCTGAATTGATTGAAGTCTGATTCTCAGCTCCTCCCAGCAGAATGCAAGTGAGATTCAACGGAGGCCAATCTGAAGTCTCTTTCCTTATAAATCTACACAGTGCTTTAAGAAAGATATTTTATTATTTGTAGGAAAAGATCCATGATTATCTTAAATGTAAAAACATCCCGCAATGTGAAGTAGTTTTAGGAACAAGGGGATATCTTATTGTCATATGGTCACGTCACAAGGAATCCAAGACAGTGAAGGCCCCGAGCCCCTGGGAGGCCTGTTTCACCCCAAGGCCGGGAGCCTGGCTGCTCTGCCTCAGCACTGTGCCACTTCCCTGTGACTGGGTCCAGCTTAAAGAAAATGTCCATTGACTTCCATGCATTTTGTGATGATGGCTTAGAGGTAGGCACAGAGCCGCTCCAGCTGGCCGGGGTTGGCATTACTTAAGAACAGCAGCTCTTTCTTCCCTTCTTCTGTAGGAGCTAAAATGGAGGCAAGCACAGGTTACGTGGCAATTTCTGCTGGCTGCATTGTGTCTTCTAAAAACGCTATGGTCAGAGACTACCTTAGCCATATTATTTCCTACAGCAATCTCCCCAGCACCTTGTTTTTTGTCCTTTACAAACTACCATCCTGCAGCTACTTTGACTCTTCCATCTCCAATAACCTGTTCCCGTTACTATGAACTTTCTATTACCTAGTGATAGAACCTTTTACTTTACTTCTACATCTCCTCCCATATCCAGAGATGAGGTAGATATAAATGGACACATAGAATGCTTTCAGTTAGAGTAGACCAAATCTGGTACTGAGGGCTAAGATTTTTGTTTTGGTTTTTTTTGAGACAGGGTCTCACTGTGTAGTTCAGTCTGGCCTTCAACTCACTATGTAGCCCAGGCTGGCCTTGAACTCCTGGCGATCCTCCTGTGCACGACCATGCCTGGTTATGACCTATCAATATTAGTTAACATTTTCTATACACACGTGAGACCATGCATGGCAAAGACTGAGTTTGGTGCTCGTGTTGCCTCTCATATAGAATAAGTTGTCTATGGGTGTCCGAGTGCATGAGTCTCTCAAATGACATTTGTTAAATAAATGCAGTAATGAACGTTGTAATCTCAGCATTCTGGGAGGCTGAGGCAGGAGGATCACAAGTTAGAGGCCTGCCTGGTCAACTTAAATGACTTAGCCAGACCCTGGCTCAAAATAAAGAAAAAAAAAATGCTGGGTGTGGTGGTGCACGCCTGTGATCCGGCACCCGGGAGGCTGAGGCAGCAGGATCACCATGAGATTGAGGCCAGCCTGGGCTACACAGCGAGACCCTGTCTCAAAAAACCCCCAATATATAGCACTGGGAATGTAGCTCAGTGGTACAGCATGTGCCTAGCATGCATGAGGCCTTGAGTTCAATCTCCACCACTGCAAATTTAAAAAAAAAACAAAACAGTAAAAAAAAAAAAAAAAATCAACAGAAGAGAGAGTGTGGCAGCAACCCAAACATCTGGAAGCTGCCTGTGGCTTGACATGACTTTGCTGCTTTATAGCATCAACATTTTGTTTTGGACAAGATGAGAATTTGGGGAGAAGTAGAATTTCTCTGGTAAGCCATCTTTCTATACCATCTTATCAGCTAGAAAACAAGTCAGGATAAAGGGAAAAATGGTGAAATGCAAACCATGAGCTTTCTGAGGGAAGGGCTGGGCCCAGGTCACAGCTCCTACTGCAAGCACAAACCCCTGAGAAGAAAAAGCAAACAACTGACCTTTCTCATGCTGGATCCAGTTGTTCTCTAAATAATAATGAACGCAACTTTCAAACTCCTTTGGTTTGTAGTTAGAAACCAGGATGGGAAGAAAGGGATCCAGGGCGTCAAATCCCTCCTGGAGAAGGAAGAGGATGAGGATGCAGTTATTAGTTATGTGACTGATCGGCAGAGGGGGCTCTTCTGTGTCCTCAGCCTCTCTCTGGGCCTCCACATGGCTAGGTGGAGCACTTGTCTGACTGTAGTATATTTTTTGACACTTCTGACTTTTGGAACCAAGTCATATTTTATGAATTCAAAACCAGAAAATAGGCTGGGGATTTAGCTCAGTGGTTTCGCTGCCTGGTGCACAAGCACAAGGACCAGAGTTCGATCCCTGGTACCAAAAACAAAACAAAACAAAACAAAAAACCAAAACCCCCCAGAAAATAAAATCAAGAAGAATGGGGAAAAAGGACCCTAAATGGAACATAAGCAGAAATAATGGCTCAATGCAAATGTTGAAATAACTATAACACTGAAGAAGGGGAAGAGGAATTAAGCCAAGTAACTTCTGAACAGAGTGTCTGGACTATAGTATGGCTTAAGACAAAAACTAAATATTGAATTCTTAATTTTCAGAGGCGAGAGTTGGCAAATCTGAAACTATTCCTAACCATTTTCTAGAACTGAGCTCATAAGTAAATACACTGTTGCTGAGATCAGATTTCTTAGTCTTAGAAATATGGGAGGAGCAAGGGTAGAATCAGGTGGCGATGTTGGCATGGCATTGGCATCCATCAGTATGAACCCAAAGTTCATAATTAACAATTAATATCCTTGTAGTATTAGTTAACATCTAATTAGTATCCCTGCCTTACCTCCCTTCACTATTCCCTTGCGCAGTGGCTGCTCTGTAAGGCAGGTAAGGCAGGGACAGGCTGACTGGGGCTGGCATATGTGGTCTCTAGTTTTCAAGGCTGATTATTTTCCTGCTAGGTCTTATTTTCAGGGAAACAAATTAATTACAGAAGGAAAATCACTACTGAGGAGATACAGATGGACATGATCTCAGAGAGTGTTCAAAATGAACATCTTGAGTAAAGGAGCGATAGACTTCATGTTCCCCAAGGAGACATCAGACAAGCTCAGAAAATATGCTACAACATAACTGACACACACCGTACTGTGTCAAAGGCATAAAGCCTAAGATTACAAAAGACTAAAGGCAGAGGAACTGTCACAGATTAACTCAGAGACCTGACAACCAAACTGACACGTAACTGAAGATTTTTTTCTCTAAAGGGTATTGGGTTAAGTGGCAAAGTCAGAGTAAGTCTTACAGATTGAAGTATTATATCACAGTCAATTCCTTGATTTGGTAATTGTGCTCTGGATATGCAGCAGAATCTCTCTCTCGTTTTTTGGTACTGGAGATCGAACTCAGGACCTTGTGCTTGCGAAGCACGTGGTGGAACCACTGAGCTAGATCCCTGGCCCTCTTTTTTTAAAGAAAGAGACATTAGGGCCACGTGTGGTGGTGCATGCCTATAATCCTAGCACTCGGGAGGCTGAGGCAGGAGGATCACTGTAAGTTTGAGGCCAGCCTGGGCTACACAGTAAGATGCTGGCTCAAAAGAAAAAATAAGAAAAAGAAAAAACAGTTATGAAAGGTTAACACTTGAAATCTGGGTGAAGGGAACAGAGGAACATGACTTTTCTCTAAGTCTGAAATTGTATCAAAGTAAACAGAGCCACAAAGTGTTGTTTCTTTAGGCAGAGGACTATATAAGGGAAACAAAGTTCTCCGTGGCTTGACCTTGCCCAGTAGATCCTGGGGCAGATGGGCTTTGGAGGGCTTGAAGAGCGACCCAGTCTGGCTCAGAGCCAACACAATGGCGCCTCCATGCTGAAAGAAAGGAAATAAGGCATAATTAGAAGAAGCTGAAAAAGACAGCATCAGTTTCACTGTGTACGTTGGGATTTCACTCTCCCAAAGATAATACAAAGATACTGTTAACTATCGCAAAGAGAGTAAAAGTAGTCCAGACAGGGATGGTGGCCCATGCCAATAATCCCAGCACTGTGGGAAGCTGAGGCAGGAGGAGTGCGGGTTCCAGGTGGCCTAGGGAGTCTAGCAGGACACTGTCTCAAAAAGGGCCAGGGAGGGGACTGAGAATTTAGCTCAGTGGTGCCGCCGCTTGCCTCGAAAGCGCAAGGCCCCGATCCCCAGTACCAAAAACAAAACAAACAAACAAACAAAAAAGGGAATCTTCTTGGCCATATAAAATCCATAGTATCTTGGGCCGGGGATTTAGCTCAGGGGTTCTGTTGCCTGCCTCGAAAGCGCAAGGTCCTGAGTTCAATCCCTGGTACCAAAAGAAGAAAAAAAAAAGCAAAAAAGAAAACAAAGGGCCAGGGAGCTGGGGACACAGCTCAGTGCAAAGGCCCTGAGTTCAATCCCCAGTACCCTGTCTCACACACACACATCTCAATATTTAAATAAAATAGTTTTGAGTATGTTTACTCGAGTCAAATTGAAAAGTTAGAAATCAAATACATTGATTTTAATCCAGACTTACTCCTAATGTGGTACAGCTATAGGAACTAGATAAGAGAACACTGTGGCCTTAACACCAGAGACTGCAAAGACAGTACTGACGTGGCAGTGTCACACACTCACCCAGTCGTTGCGCGTCATCTTCCTCAGGTTGTGAATCAGTGCCAGCTCCTCTGCTGCAATCTGCATGTTGTCAGTGAGAGAGGAGAGGTCATCATGGGACAACTGAGCTGGCCAAACGAACAGCGGCCCTCACTGCGCCTGCGTCTCTGGGACAGGTGCCGGCTGCTGGCCCAGGACCGCCAGGCCTGTCCCCCAGAGTGCAGGTGCCTGCAGCCCCAACCCTCCCCCTTCCCAATGCTGCCAGTCTTCTCCACCTCCACCAAGCAGCCTCACTTGGAAAAACTAACGGCGAGAAAGAGCCAGGAAAGAAAACAGCCGCTGTCCTCCCTTCCAAGACGCTGTAACACAGCGGTGGTGCAGGGGAAGCCTTGGTGTCACCGCCTGCTTCTAACACTGTTTTCCCCGAGCACAGCGGCCCAGCACTCGGGGCAGGCAAGCACCCTGCATGGTGCGCACAGCTGTCTCGGCCCCTGCACACGCAAGCAGAAGGCAGGGAAACCCGCAGAGAAAGGCCTCTTCCTACCAGGCTCTGATCTTCTCTCTTCAGTGTGGTCCTCCCCCAGAGCGCGTTGACACCGTCCATGGCCACCAGGAGGTGGAACAGCCCCGCAGAGCTCTGCCTCTTGAGCTCCTTCAGGACAATGCCAACCGCATCGGTGGCGTTCTTCACCCGGGTGATGCCCTGCATGGAGATGGTGGCTCAGAGGCCTGTGGAGGCCCCCTCAGGGCGGACGCGCGGTCGGTGCCCTTCCCTGTACCTGCTCCACCACTTCTCCCAGGGGACTGCCTTTCTCAGTGCTTTCTCTCTTATTCCAGACATACTTCTCTTGGACTTTTATCTAAAAACAAGCAAACAAAATAAAAACCACAAATAGCTGCATTCATCTGTAGTTGAGCAGACGGGAGGTTAGGGTGAACAGGAATCAGTTTAAATGTTTCACAGAGGCTGTTAAGAGATTTGATGTAAGCCAGACACGGTGACACCCGCCTGTAATCCAAGAGCTCTGGGAGGCTGAGGCAGGAGGATAACAAGCTCCTCAGGCTGGGGAATTCAAAGAGACCCTGTCTCAAGAAAGAAAAATACAAAAGGGCTGGGGATGCAGCTCAGTGAGAAGGCCCTGGGTTAAATCCTCAGTACTGAAAAAAAAGGGAGGAAAAAAACCTCCCCAAATACCCAATATAGAAGTGAATGCTTTGTAGCCCACCTGTGCTGGGAGCTTTGAAAGAAAAAGGTACAAGAGGGATGCTGACTATAAAGGTCCAGAAGGCGATGGTGGCAGCTGGATGTTATTTTAATTAATTATTTTGAGTGCAAGGGACTGAACCCAGGACCTTGCACACGCAGACAAGCGCTGTACCTCTGAGTGACTACCCCAGCCCTTCTTATTTTTGACATGGGTTCTTGCTAAGTGGCCGCGACTGGCTTTGTACTTGTTTTCCTCCTGACTCAGCCTCCCAAGTGTTGGGCCTACATGCATGCAATGCTATCCCCATTTTCTTCCACTTACTTTTTTTTCCCCCCTCAGTACTGGGGATTGAACTTAGGACCTTGCACTTGCCAGGCAGCCATGGTGGCACCGAGCTAAATCCCTGGTCCCTTCACTGCACTTTTACTAAGCCCTTGGGCCAGTGGCGGGACCCTGTGTCACTGTGGCTGCTCTACCCAGAGTCAGAAAGCCCTAGAGAGCACACCCAAGAAGCCAGGGTGGACAACAGTGTTTCCCATACATTTCTGGTTCCCAGAAAGTCTGCAGAAAACCACACAGCGAGCACTGTGCCCATGGTTCACGTGAGGCTGTACCTCAGAAAAGCCAGCCAGCCAGTCTGAATTTTGTTTTGTTATCTACTAAATGAGAAGTTTACTCTTGCCTTTTTATTTTACATAGATGAATGGGTTTCAAGTTGTAAGCCCAGTGTAAGCAAAGCCGTGAAGGAAACACCGAGTGTTGCTATGTGCAGCAATTCTGCAGTCTCCCAAGTGCTCCGGGCCACAGAAGGTGCAGTCGCACCTGAGGAAGCCGTTGCCACCCGCCCACTGGAGTCCAGTCACCTGGCTCAGGAAGCGCTCATTTGTAGTTTTGAAATTCTTCAGCCAGGTTGAGGCCTCTAAAGGTTGATCAAAGCGCTGTTTGCTGTAGGTAGACCGCAGAAGTTCCCGACAATTTTTCACCCAAAGATGAGCTAAAAAAAAATGCACAAACAAAACAAAACAAAACAACCTGGCAGGAATTGACTATACTTAATTAAAATAACTATGCACCGTGAAGTTACAGGAAAGATATATTTATTTATTTCATGCATTCTAGGCAAGTGCTCTATCACTGAGCTATATTCCCAGTCCTCCACATATATTTACTCCAGCCTTCTGACTGCAGGGGCTTTTTTGTCTGGTCTGTCTTATACTAAACATTATCAATACCTAAAAGCCGGGTGTGGGAGCACAGGCCTGTTATCCCCACACTCAGGAGGCTGAGGCAGGAGGACTGCAGTGAGTTCAAGGCCAGTCTGAACTACATAGTGAGACCCTGTCTCAAAAATCAATGCACAGAACACACCAAGTAGATTAAATGTCACTTCTGCCTATGGACAGTTTTTAAAGCTGAATTAGAAAATGTGGATGCCTACAACAGTGAACAAAAAGGGGATGTATGCCAAGTGTGAGGGTTTTAAGTTGATACTATCCATGCTGACAACTCTAAAATGCTGATCAAAAGCGTTATGGGTACTCAAAATCATTATTGATAGCAATATAAAAACCAAAGTGATTTGTGACTGTAGTCCCAGCTACTTGGAGGCTGAGGAATGAGGGCTACTTGAGTGCAGGCGTTCAAGATCAGCCTGGGCAACAACCAGACCTGTCTCTTTTTTGTGTTTTTGAGACAGGGTCTTGCTATGCAGTTCGGGCTTGTCTTGAACTCATGGTGATCTTCCTCCCTCAGCCTCCTGAGTGCTGGAATCACAGGTGTGCACCACTATGCCTGGCTAGGACCTGTCTCTTAAATAACACAAGCGAAAACAAAATCCTGTGGCACCCTCTAAGGTAGGACTATGTGATCTTGAGCATTAAATATCAAGTAAAAACTCTGTATCAGAAGGCTTCAGGAAGCTTTTAGCTGAATCTCCTGTGGCCACACACTATCTTGCAAACTGTGTGGCTCTGACATTATAAAGGAGCCTCGATGAAACAGCTCAGACTCTGTGGCACGTGCAGCAACAGCTTTCCCTTCAGTCAGACGAGCCTGGTCAGAAAATAGTCACAGTGCTGCTTTGGTAACAGGAGAACTAGCCTGACACAGAGAAGCAAGGGAGTTCTTACCATCTGGAATATGCAAGATTAGCCAGCCGTGTTTCGCACAGAAATGGATAACATGGCAAAGACTAAGGGTTTTTCCTGTTCCCCTTTCTCCATCTAATGTAATTGTTGTTAAAGGAAAAATCACCAGGGCCAGGGATTTAGCTCAGTGGTTTCGTTGCCTGCTGCACGAGCGCAAGGTCCCCGAGTTCGATCCCTGGTACCAAAAGAAAAAGAAAAAAATCACCAGAGGGGAGGCTTCACTGTCAACGGCACACCTGTATTTCTTCCTTCCCCTGAGAGGAGAAAACACTGGCTAACAGGGTCCCAGGCAGGCAGGAAAGGATACAGAGAAGATAGCGTACAGCTGGGTGAGCAAAATTGGTGTTTTTCAGGTAGTGCAGAAGCTCTAGGGCTGGCCTCCTTATCATCAGGCATGCTTCACCAAATGTCTTCACCTGCAGAAACGGACAGAGCAGCAGTGGGCCGGGGACTTCTAACCACTGCCAGTATGCACACTGCGCCAGAGCCGCCAAGGGCATGGAACTAACTGCACTTTTTATTTTTCGTACCGGGATCGAACTTGGGACCTTGTGCTTGTGAGGCAGCAGATTTTTAATTACTCAGGAAAGGCTGAGTTGCTATTTAATTTGAAAATCAACCCTTATAATTTAGCTAAAACACATTATTCTGCACATAATAGCTTTTGATTATTATTAATGAAACAAACTGTCAGTTAACTGAAATCTATAAATAATAGACATAACTATGTACTATGTAGTCAAGATTAATTCTTAAAAGCATATAAAATGCTTAACACAGTATTTGATACATAAGGACTCAATAAACATTATTTTAAATTTATGTTTAGTTAATTCGTATTACTCCAACCATCTGTCCTTGTCTGTAGAATTATGTACACAGCTCAGGTGTGGTCAACTGCCTCACAATTCTGAGGCCATATTTCATGCTACTCACACGATGACACATCCGTTTGTTTATTCCCTTTGCCACCATAATACTCTGCTAGAAAAATGTGGGAAGCACTGATTATATATACATAAGTGATTAGCAAATTAGATTTAATTCTGTCTACTACTAATAAATATCTGACAAATACTATTTGCAAGCATTTTCAGATGAAGTTTAAAAAAAATTTTTTTTTTTGGTGTTGGTGATTGAACCTAGGGCCTGCTGCTTGCTAAATGTGTGCTCTAACATTGAGCTACAGCCCCTGCCCCAGTGTTGGTTTGAAAGAAAGCTCCTTGGGCTGGGGATTTAGCTCAGTGGTTTTGCTGCCTGTTGTGCAAGCGCAAGGACCCGAGTTCGATTCCCAGTACCAAAAAAAAAAAGACATCTCCTTATAAAATAACTGGATTGCTTAGGGCCTGGGATTTAGCTCAGTGGTTCCGGTGTCTGCCTTGCAAGCGCAAGGTCCCAAGTTCGATCCCCAGTACCAAAAAGAAAATAAATAAAATAAGTAAAAAGTAACTGGATTGGTGTAGGAACTGACAGCAAGGTTGCTGTGCCTGGCTAAGAAGGAATCCTGTCAACCCAGCAAGCAGCCGTGTGTGGGGGCCATCCCTGTAGTCCCAGGTACTTGGGAGGCTGCACTGGAATGATCACCTAAGTCCAGGAGTTCAAGACCAGCCTGGGCAACAAAGTGAGACCCAACCTTACCTTCTAACTCCCGTGTTGGAAAAAAGAAAGCAGGAGCTAGTCAGAACAATAACTATGCCAATACCATAAACTATTCTTGCAGTTAATCACAAATTTTTCCAATGGCTATATAATAATCCAAGACCAATTTCTCATTTGTTTAGTTTTTTCCTTCAGTTCTAGGGATCGCATCCAGGGCCTTCTGCATGCCAGGCAAGCATGCAACCAGTACAGCTACCACCCTGGCCCCAAGATTATGCTTTCTGAATTGAAGTTATAGCCACAAAACAACATTTTCTGAAATTCCATGAGAATGGAGAACAAAAATGTACGTAATCAAAATAGCTTATTTTATTTATTCATTTTTAGACAGGATCTCGCTATGTAATTCAGGCTGTCCTTGAACTCACTATATAGCCCAGGGTGTCCTTGAACTTGAGGTTATCTTCCTGCTTCAGCCTCCCGAGAGCTGGGACCACAAGCATGCATCACGAAGCCCAGCCTGCATTTCTCTTTAGATTGGGGATATTAGGATTTTTTTTTTTGTATGTGTGCAGCACATTAACTATTCTTAAGGTATTTTGGTATGGTAAATACTAATTCATTCAAAATAATTATTTGAATGCCAGTGTCTAGACACTTGTTGGGTAACACAAGGAAAAATATATGCCTATATTGTTTACTTATACAAGAATATTTACCAGGCTCCAAAATAGGTTTAAGTAGTTAGAAGATAACATTAGTTCAAAAATAAAGCAGTTGTACTATTCACAAAGGATAACAGCTGAATTTCCGTTTTTCGGATTCAGATCTGATGTTAGAGCTGGGTGCCATGAGCTTGGCTTTGGGCCCGCTCCCTGTGTGGTGTGCAGCACCTGCATTGCGAAACGAGGAGGCAGGCCGTGGGGAAGTGCCGTCTTCAGATCCTGCAGGGGGATGCTGTAGTGCTGGCCCTCATGCTGCTCCCTGTGCTGGGCCTAGAACACAATGCAGACAGGTAGAACGGGCCACACCGTGGTGAGGACTCTGAAGAGAGACACACGCATTTATCGTAGCCAAAAATGCTGCTGGTCCTCTGCTTCTGAGTATATACTGCACTAGAAAGGTGCTGACCGCCAACAAAGCCAGCTGTTGAGCAGGAGGCCCTAGATGGGGTGGGACAGACAGCCCTTGCCACTTGGATTCTTTCTGTGCTGCGGAGAGATGCTCTGGTCATGTGACAAGATAATCTGCATGCTGCTGTTTCCATAGAAACCTCAAAGGAACTGGCAGATAAAGGGATTACAATTATAGAGGCAGCTGAAAAACACTTCAGTAATTTCATTCATTTATTCTATTTCATTTTGTGCTTATAAAAATAGATGAATGACAGACATTTAAAACACACATGCTAATATTTTTGGGGGGTAGTGGGCCATTTTTCCATTTCCATATAGCTATATTTAACTTTTATTTATTTAGCTTTTTTTTTTTTTGGTACCAGGGATCAAACTCGAGTCCTTGGCTTGTGAGGCAGGCGGCAGAACCACTGAGCTAAATCCCTGGCCCCTATTTAGCTTTCTGAGACATGGTCTAGGTAGTTCAGGCTGGCCTTGAACTCACAGGAACCCTCCTGCCTCAGCCTCCCAAGTGCTGGGATTACAGGTGTGCACCACCATGTCCCACTCTACATAGCCACATTTAAGATGAGAAGACTCGAGGGAAGGGCAGGGACAGAAATGCTGGTGGGTTCCTTCACATTATAGCACAGAACACACAATTAAATTTATTCATGAGAGGCAGCAAGCAGTGACGAGGAAGGAGAAAGGAAGTCAATATCCAGTCTAACAGGATCTCAGAAAATGAAGCACTGGATGCTACTGACTCTTGGCTTCTGCTGACAGACTTCACTTTCAATGCTGCTCTTCTCAAACCAAATCAAGTTAGCACCTTGACACTTTCCAAACACCAGGAAATCCATTTACCAAGGTGGAAAATAATACCAGTTTGGTTCTTAGGAAAACTGGGGCCTGACCTGCCTGGTTTATGATTTAGGGGAAGTATGGACTTTGATTTCTTTGAGATTCTCCATACCAGGGTTGGTAAGCTAAGGCTGGGCATTTCTTTTTATATTGTGAAGTGCTGGGGATCGAACCCAGGGCCTTGCAGATGCTAGGCAAGTGCTCTCCCACTGAGCTCACCCCAAGCCCTAGTTACCTGTTTTATAATCAGACATTTATTGGAACACAGCTATACTTCTTTGCTAATGGCAGAGGCGAGTAGCTATGACAGACCCTGTTATATTATAACCCATAAGCCTAAAATATATACTTTCTAGCCTTTTAAGGAAACGTCTGCCACCAACACACAATAAGGTCAATATAAGTGTTAGGTTTACCTTGCAAGGAACTAAACAAGTTTTGTTTTTTTGGGATTTTTTTTTTTTTTGTACTGGGGATTGAACTCAGGACCTTGTGCTTGTGAGGCAGGCGCAGTGCCACTGAGTTAAATCTGTGGGAAAACTAGTAAGTTTTTACTAAGTTCTGCCTCTACACTCAGCAAGGTCCTTGGCCCTAGGTGAGTCCATCTGTAGGGATTGAATCAGAAGTGAAGTGGACTGACCGGCGTGCCTCCTTGGTTCCAGAGCGTTACCTCAGCGCACTGTCTATCCGATCATGTGTCAACTGCTTAGCTTCTTTTTTTTTTTGGTACCGGGGATTTTTTTTTGGGTCCTTGTGCTTGTGAGGCAGGCAGCAGAACCACTGAGCTAAATCCCCGGCCCCTGCTTAGCTTCTTTAAACTGCACCTTTCCTGACACAAATGATACCACACAAATTATAATCCCGGAAAAACCTCATATACATATCAGCAACTCACCGGGTCACTTTCACTGGTACGGGAAATAGTTCTGGGCCTCTCAACTGGAACCTGCTCATCGGGGTGAGCAGCAGTGCTTTGGGGTGCCTGGGTTCCCGTGTGCAGAAAACATCGAGGGTCCAACTAGAAAAGAAAGCAGTGCAGTGCTGTAGAATTTTCAGGCTTTCTATGTCTGCTGTGACACGCATGGTGCAAGCCATGTCTAACAGGGAAAAGTGTCACTAATGAGTTCCAATTGTTTGGAAAAAGTATTCTCATCACTGTTTATAATCCACCACATCCATGTGCCTCGCTCATCCCCTCACTCTGCTCCAGCTTGAGTGTGGCCCTGTCAGGGCTCTGCCCACGTGGAGGCAAACAATTCTGCTAGCTTGTTCAGGAACATGGCACAGCCATTAACACCTGAAGCAGGAAGCTTCTTTTTTTTTTTGTGAGATGGGGTTTCACTATGTTGCCCAGACTGGCTTCAACACCTGGATTCAAGCCGTCCTTCCACCTCAGGCTCACAAGTCCCTGGGACTACAGGTTCCTGCCACAGTATCCAGCTTAGGATATTTCTTTATTATTATTATTACTATATTTCATTTGTGTTCATGGAGAACTTGGGGCCTTTGTGCTGAGCTGTAGCCTTGTTTTTATTTTGAGACGGGGTCTCATCACGCTGTGCTTACAGGTGTGCAGCTCAATGCCCAGCCCAAGCAACTCTGAGTGCAGAAAATGGGCGTTATTTTTGTACTTTCTCTCCTAACACTCACACCCAGATCACATGTCACACGTTTCCCCACGGAGACTGGCCACACACTTCTCTCTCTCTCTGCTAACAGCACTTTCTTGGCCTGGAACTGCACTTGCAGCACTATTAGCTGAGCAGCCCTCAGTGTGGGGCAGTGCGGAACTGTACCTATATCGCATCTGACTGCGGAGCCCTTGACTATAGGTAGAATATTCTCTGACAGGGAAAAACAAGGTCCAGGGAAGTTTGGAAATTTTGACTTAGGTCAGAGCTGCAACTAGAATTCACATCCAGTTCCGTCTCACTCCTAAATCTCTATTTTAAAAACAACATCATGCTATCTTATATATGTTTGTTGCCCATTCTAGGTCACACACTTGGAAGAAAAGAAATCAGATTTTATTTATCTTTGTTTCTCCTTCTCCAAGTATCTAACATACCACAGTTTTGTCCCCCAGTACTGGAGACTGAAGCCAGGGCCTTCACACTGAGCTATGCCCCCATACCCCACTCTTTTATATGTTTTAAGACAGGGTCTTGCTAAGTCGCTAAATTACTCAGGCTGGATTTGAACTTTACAGGCGTGGACCCCGTGGCCAATTCATACTACAAATATTAAGGGTGGGTGCCTGAGAATAATCTTTCTTTAGGTGGGCGTGGGTGGCATAGCCCAGAATCTCAGCTGCTCAGGAGGTAGGCAGAAAGCAGCTAGGCAGGAGGACTGAGAGTTGAGCCTGTCTGAAAATAAAAACGAGGGGTGCAGGCGAGGGATGTAGGTCAGGGGTAAAGTGCTTGGCCCCAATCTTTCCTTGAAGACGAGTCATGAAGGAATGAGTAGAGTACCTACCTAAGGGAAAGTGAACTGCTTTACAGGCGATTTGCGAAGCTACACACGCAAACCTCTGAACCTTAACTTGTGGATTGCAATATAAAGTAACAGGGTCCTCCAACTTTGTCTGAGAAAGCAGGATTGTAAATGAAGGCTACAGCAGAGAAAACGATGTTCACCAAGTATTCCTCTACCTGTTTCAGCCTCCCATGACAGGTGGGAATTGTGTGATTACTTCTGGCTGAACAGCTCTGAGTGGAGATTACTGTCATTTCCAGTCAAAATAGTGTGAGTGGATATAAATGCTTTCCTCTTCTCCAGAGCTACATGGTGCACCTGTGGTCCCAGCTACGGGGAGGCTGAGGCAAGGGGATTCCAAGCCACCCTGGGCAACACAATGGGACGCTGTCTCAAAAAAAACCCAGGAGGGCCGGGGATTTAGCTCAGTGGTTTCGCCACCTGTTGCGCAAGCTCAAGGACAAGTTCAATCTCCAGTACCAAAAAAAAAAAAACCAACCAGGAAAAAGCTACATGTTGAGATGGATGGTATGCCAAGAAGAACCTTTGTCCTTAATCCACCGCAATCTCACTTGCAGGATTATTCTTTTCCAAAATACAGGGACAGCAAAAACCAAGTGATATATAACACAAACAGGAATGAAGGGCTTGTTACCTTGGCAAAGCGACCTGAATCCCTCGCACTCATACTGTTAGTTCAGTCTGCTGCACAGAAAGTGCATCTCCAATTTAGGAAGCAGGAAACAGGAGATATTTGGGGGCCACATGGTGGTGCTGTTTCTACAGTGATGTGATGACTCTAGGAACTCCGTGCAGGAAGTTAAAGCTAGCAAAATGGATTCCTCCTTCTTGGAGTGTTACAAATGGCATCAGCACCGAGTCCCCTTTCTAGGAAAAACCACCACATGCACAAGTGCTTGGGTGCATTCCAGGACGAACAGAGTGCAGCTCCTGAGCCAATGGCATTCACGGGCCCGTCTAGAAAGTCTTGCCCAGCGAAACTAAACCCACCCACAAACCCCTCTCACCAGCTTCTCTTTATCCGGGCTCTGGGGTTTCTTGTCTGGTACTAAGGAAGACATGGGGACCTTCTAAATGATCAATTGCGGCTAGAATCCCTTCTTCTCTTGGTCCTTACATCATTTTATAATAATGCGTTATTTTATGTTTATAGGTTTTTCATAAATCACATGGTAGGGAGAAGGGGATGAAAAAAGTAGAAAACAAAACAAAACACCCTACAGGAGGAAAGGCCCTTTTTCTAGAAACTCAAATTCGTGACTGAATGAGCCGATGAGAGACGAGGCCCTCCTGACTTGGTTCTCCTCCTCAGGGTTTAGCTCGGCCACAGGCCCTGGAGGAGGCAGGCCTGGCATCTTCGTTCCCCAAAGAAGGTACCTAGCATCCTAATCCTGTTTCTGCTTCTCTGAAACAAGAGTGTTATCTACTTTGTGGAGTGATCATGAGGACTAAAAGAAAGCAAGCACTTAGTGTACTACCTTGCGCAAAATGAAATGTCCCCTAAAATAGTAACCATAATAGTGAAATGAGACCTCTTAAAATTAGAAGCACCTAAAAAATAATAGTAATTAGGGGCACCTGCCAGGTGTGAAGGTGACACCTGTAATTCCAGCACTCTGGGAGATGGAGGCAGGAGGGTCACAAGTTCGAGCCTAGCCTGGGCAATTTAGCAAGACTGTCTGAAAATAAACCGGCCAAGTATGCAGCTCAGGGTGAAGAGCCTGGGTTCAATCCCCCGTACCAAAATAAATAAATAAAAAGAAAAAAGAATTCTGAGTACGTGTCACATAGAAGTTTCTGAAAAATTACTTGGTGAAGAAATGAAAAGCCAGGCATGATAATGCTTCTAATCCCAGCACTCAGGAGGCTGAGGCAGGAGGATCACAATGAGTTCAAGGCCACGCTGGCTACATAGTGAGTTCAAGGCCAGCCTGAACTACAACATGAGACCCTATCTCAAAAACAAAACAAAACAAAAACCTGGCAACTTGTTTTTCTTTTAAATACTTCATTAAGGGATGATAATCAATAATAAAGTTACTAAAGATAACTGTAGTCAAACTTACCCATGTTTTAAAAAAATTTTTAATTATCCTATCACACAATAAACACAAGTATTCTAATGAGATTTCTTACTTGAAAATTTTTATTGCAGGTGGGAGTAAAGTATATGGCTAGAGAATGGAGCTGTGACTGGTTTTGTCTGTTATGTTTTTGGTGGTACTGTGGATTGAACTCAAGGCTTTTGCACTGAGCTATACTCCTAGTCCTTTTTATTTTTTATTTTGAGATAGGGTCTTACCCAGGCGAGCCTTGAACTTGCAATCCTCCTGCCTCAGCCTCCTGAGCTGCTGGAGTTAAAGCCATGCACCACTGTGCCTGGCATGACTGTTCTTTTGAGTACATACTCTGACCCAAAGCCCTAGTCAAATGGCATTCCCAGTGTATTCCAGCTAAAGCCAAGAAGACAACCGACAGGCAGTCTGCACAAAGCCTTTGGGCCTGTCAGCACTCGCTCACCTTGTGGACTCTGGAGACCAGCCTGGTCACTCCTTTCAGCATCGTTCTGCACTCTAAACAAAAGTGAAAAGTCAGTCACAACGGGGAAAGGTAACACTGACATGCAAGACTGACGATACTTAGAATATACAGAGCATGCCTATGAAGTGATAAAACAGGTGAAAGGCATGAACAGGCACTTCACAGAAAAAGGAAACATGGCTAGGAAAGGCATGAAATTTTCAGCCTCCAAATGTGGCGAAAGTGAGGCTTCTGGCAAATCCTGCCTGGGAAGAGAAAACCCCTGTTAGAGAGGGCAATTCCGATGAGCAGGAGAACCGAGAAGCAGCGTGGCCCCACTTGGTGCCAGGGCCCCGTTCCCCCTCTCACCTTCAATTAAGTACACAGGAGGCAGACTGAGGAGGAGGCTGCACTGCAGAGCTCACTCAGTACGTACAATTTACATGCACACACCTACATGTAAATACGTGTTTGTTATTCTCTCACCATGTTAAAGCACTAACTGTACATGTATCCCTTTACTAACTGTTAGCTGGCCTTGAGTGTGAGGCTCTGCTATAAATGTCAGAGAGAGGGCTGGGGATTTAGCTCACTGGCTCCATAACTTGCCTCACAAGTGCACGGTCCTCAGTTCGATCCCCAGCACCAAAAAACTAAAAATAACTAACTAACTAACTAACTAACTAACTAAATAACTGTCAGAGAGAGTACTTTGACAACACACAGGCTGCCAAGAGGGGCTTATGCAAGAACATGCACACAGGCATCAGAGAGGGTCAGCGGCCACACAGGGGCCTCAGCACCTAAAACAGCTGATCAAGTTATAACAATGCTCATGGGGCAGAGTCCCTTCCTTACTCACCATGTAATAAGGGGCTGAGAGCAAAGACCCTCGGCACCGGCTCCAGGCTCCCTACCTCCTCTGGCGAGGCAGCTGACTAGCTCCTCACTTCTGTCTTCTTTCCAATAAGGTGACTTTGTCTCTCCTTCTAAACTTATATCTCTAACTTTTTTATTGGTGTAATGTTATAAATCGCAGATGAAGAAATATACCCTCACTCCAGATGGGACACTGACATGCTGGGGAAATGCAAATTAAAACCATTAACAGCCACAATCTTGGGGAAAACAGAAAAGTCAGACAATAGCAAATGTTAAAGAGGCTGTGGAACACAGGGAAATTCATTCACTCTCAATGGGGGTATAAACACAAATGTCTTTTAGAAAATAAATTTACCATTTCCTTTGTAGAGATGAATATGTACAACTCCATTACCCAGCTATTCTAGTCCTTGGTAACTTATTTTAGAAAAACACACATGTACATTGGGATATGTAAGAATGTTCATAGGGGTAGAGTATAAATGATCAAAAAACTGTAAAAGATCCAAATGTCCCTTGTTAGAAGAGTAGATAATTAGAAACAAAGTCATATAGTAGAATACTATACAGCAATAAAAATGAAGCAACATCAGCCCACAAAATCAATACTGAGTGAAAACAACTACATCTCACAAGATAAAAGTATATAAATTTCAAAATCATAAAACTTATTTTTTGGGTACACACACGTAGTAAAACAAAGGGAAGGGAATGTTGAGAACAATGTTTAGAATAATGGTTACTCTTAGGGAGAAAGGAAAGGTTGGGGCAGGATACACAAGAAATGGTAATGAACTCTAGCACTGGATAATGAATACATGAGTATTACTTTTATACCATGTTATAGTTATCCTTTTGTATGATGGAAATAATTTTTAAAAATCTAATCTTGGGCCGGGGATTTAGCTCAGTGGTCTCGCTGCCTGCCTCAAAAGTGCAAGGTCCTGAGTTCAATCCCCGGTACCAAAAAAAAAAATTACTGTTAAAAAATCTAATCTTTTGGGAGCTGAAGAAGTTTAAAATGTAGCACTGCCCCTTCCCACAGGGGATGTGGTCTCACCCAGACTACTGGAGGGTCTCTGAAGCTGCAGATCATTCCAAACCATACATCCAGCTTTCCTGTACCTACACACCTAAAATAAACTTGGATTTATACATTTGGGGCAGTAAGAGATGAGCAACAACACAACAGACCGATTGGAGCGATTACTGTAGTAGTTATGTGAATGTGGTCACTGTCTCTTAAAATGTCTTACTGTGATACACCACTTTTCCTTTTCTTTCTCCTGGTACTGGTTATTGAACCCTGGGCCTGGGCCTCGTGCATGGTAGGCAAGTGCTCTACCACTGAGCCACAGCCACCTCCCCACACGTCTTGAAAGTTTGAGGCAAGGTCTCGCCAAATTCTCAGGCTGGCCTTGACTTGGCTCTTCCACTTCAGCCTCCCCAACAGCTGGGAGGCCTGTACCACACACTCTCGGCAACTCTGCCTTCTCCCCCAGAGGAGGCGCTGCACAGCTTCTCTGGCATTTCTGGTATCTGAGCTGCTAGAATCACTTTCTGATTTTCTCTCCTACGTTGGGAATCCAACCCAGGGCCTTGCAGCATGATGCTCTAAGGGTTACTCACACTGCAGTACCGTGACAGTGGATCTGATAAAGGGAAGGGTACTGACTGCTGGGCCCGTTGGACACAGGGAGGACTCGGGTCCTAGGCGGCACGGAGTAGGACAGTAAGATTTCATTCCACTATTCAGAATAGCACGCAATTTAAAATTTGCAAATTATTTACTTAATTTTTCATTGAAGATTTTGGTTGATCCTGGGCAACGAACTACAGAAAGCAAAATCATGGACAAGTGGAGACTTCTGTATTTAAATGTAGCTCTCAATATCTAGTAGTGATGGAATGGCTACATTAAGTCTCTAGGAGCTCCAGTACTTCATTCTGCCTCATCATTCTCACCTTTTTTTGTTTTTTGAGACAGGGTCTCACTATGTAGTTCAGGCTGTCCTTGAACTCACTATGTAGCCCAGACTGGCCTTGAACTTGCAGCAATCCTCCTGCTTCAGCCTCCCATGCTGGGATTACAGGTGTGTACCACCATAACTGGTGCCCCACCTTTCTTAAAACTAAAATTGTTAAAACAACAACAACAACAACAACAACACAGTTGCACCCATTTAACTCAAGTTTCACCACCACCTGGTACCAAATATGAGTATGCAAAAAAGGGTTAGCATACTGGCCTGCAATTTCTCTCCTCGGCAAAGCCTGCTTGTGAGACTGGCCCCGAGCTGGAGTCTGGGAACTTGGACTTCACTCCCAGTCTGGTTAGGAGCAGGTGAGTGTCCTGAACATTTGCTCTCCTGCCGGGACCTGAGAGCTTCATTATGTGCTAAACAGATGATGGCTACATGACTGGCCCCCAAGAGACTCCTAGGCCGAGTTTCCAGTAGACTTCCTGATAGACAGCATTGGACATGTGCTGCCACAACTTGTTACTAGGGGAGTGTGTCCTGTGTGATTCCATTAGGAAAGGACTTCTGGACGCTTTGCCCTTTGTTGATTTTGTTTTGTATTCTTTTTTTGTACTGGGGATCGAACTTGGGTCCTTGCACTTGCGCGGCAGGCGGCGAAACCACTGAGCTAAATCCCTGGTCCCTTGTTTTGTATATCTGGAATAAATCATAGCCACTAGTGCAAGTGTATGCTCATTTCTGAATCCTCCTCATCAAATTACAGACCCCGAGAGTGATCCTGCCAACGACCAACACAACCAGCTCAGGGCCCAACACCCCCAACATCATTTCCACCTGGTGCTCAGTACCACCCAACTCCCATCTTCACCCAGTGCTAATTCCTCCCGTGTAACCTACCCCAGCTCACGTGCCCTTAGCATCTCCGTGATCTGTGACCAGCTCGCTCTCTTGCCAGTTCTACCCCTCAGTAGCTCTAAGCCTTCCCGTCCATTCTCAACTCCGAGGACAGTGTCACTCCAACAGTATCCGGTCTGCCCAACCCTTGTTCCCAGGTCTTCCCAATGCCCTGTAGAACAATGACAGTACCATGGTAGAGCTATGGGTTCCGGGGGGCTGGGTCTTGGGAGAGGAAAGACTGGCTTCTACAGGGTAGAGGCCACTTCTTTGGTTTTGCAGTGCCAGGAATCAAATCCAGAGCCTCGTGCATGCCAAGCAAGCCCTCTCCCACCGAGCCACACCCCTGCACAGGCCACTTCTTCCCGAAGGTGTGCTTGCAGGCGCTGTGTGTGATTCTGGGTACCTCAGATGCTACAGGAATGCTGGTCAGGAAAATGCAAATAGCTCTCCATTCTAGGGCACTACTGTCTTGTGTACAAATTACACCAACAACTGGTTTACCAGCTTCTAGCTTTGAATGTCTCTAACTCAGTTTCTCCATTGAAGCCTTGCTTAAAGTCTTTCAATGTTTCTTCACCATTTTAAAGATAAAAGATGTGTAAGAGATTGTGATAAAAGATAAAAGATGTGTAAAATATGAGGCCTTCCATGTGTATTCTTACATTAAGAATAACAAGACATGTTAGAAAGAAGGGGAGAGTGGGGAAGAATCTCAAGAATCTGATCCCAAAGCAGACAACATAGAGCTAACCACATTTTCACTGTCTTTTAAAATATTTCTAAGTAGAAAAAAATCCTAATGACAACCAGAATGAATGCAAAAGAAAGGAATATTTGATCATTTTATTTTCTAGGGCATAAATCAGAGCTTTGCAACATAAAGACTAAAAGCCACTAACACTATGAAAAATTGAGTCCTCCCCCATTTCTTTTCTTCCAGTACTGGGGACTGGAACCAAGGCCTCGTGCATGGTAGGCAAGCACTCCAACCAATGAGCTCCATCCCCAGCCCTTTGTAAATTTTATTTTCAGACAGTGTCTTGCTAAGTTGCCCAGGATGGACTTGAACTTGTGATCCTCCTGCCTTAGACTCCCAGGGAGCAGGAATCATGGACATGTGCCACCATGCCCAGATGGGCAATGATTTCTGCTTTCAGTCTTTGCATGTGTTCTGAGTACAGTAGTGATTTGTACAGTATAAGATATTTTGCTTATAACTGGAAAGTAGATAAGGGACAGGCCTCCCATAAAAAATAATTGCTGTTGGACGGGGATGTAGCTCAGTGGCACCG